CCCCCCCCCCCCCCCCCCCCCGTCCGCCATCGCCTCCTCCCCCCGTCAGCCCATCCATCCATGACGCGGCCCGGCACCATGTGGCCAGGCACCATCTGGCGCTAATATGTTGTAAGTTCCGTTGGCAGGTCTGCCTGTTGCTGTCTCCAGCCACAAGTAGTCTGTGAGAATGGGACACGGGGTGGATCATTCGTCATCATGTCATGTTGAGAAATAAGAAGCGCTGTTCCTTGTTTGAAGCAGTCTCTTTCCGGCACACAGGTATTAGATAGTCACTCGTCCTCGCGTGTAGTGTACATCACAGCACCAAGTAGGTACTGCTGTAGGTCATTATCACGGGGCGGTCTGCTATCTGCAAATCTGCGGCAGTAGACTAGTCTACATGTAGTCTCTCTTTTTCCTCGACTGACTGACTGAAGACTGACTGACTGACTGCACGTGCGACGGGCATGATATCTACCCCAGCACGTTCCATCAATGGGGGGCATCCTGTGCGTGAATGGATTCTCAGCAAGTAAATCCCCGTGGTACATACGTCCACATTTACAGCCTGCTGTAAGATTCATTGTGTGTCTTCAATGGGGAGCAAAAAATGACAAAAAGTCCGCATGTTGCCGGGTTCTGTTCTGTCCAGCTGTCGTTGATGTTTTGTTGTCCAGCCTGAAAATCTCAGATAGAAAAACGAAGGGAAGCGAATCTGCCCGAGGGCCCGGGAATAGAGTCCGTGTCCTCCCGCAGCACCCTGAACGATAACGGCAACGCGCGCGTGCCTGTCCCCCGGGATTAATGATTTCTAAGTTTGTATAGAGGAAGACCGCCTAGCAAGGAGAGATGGTTCGAAACCAACAGGATGGGAGAGAGTGACATACATGCGCAGGAGGGCGGTCAAAGGAAACGGTGTGGAATGAAGGCACGAAAGAAAAAAAAAAACACACTTTTGACAAGTGTGGCAAATGATCCCGATGGGTGGGTGACGTGAAAGGGAACGCATTGTCCTTCTCACCAACAGCTAGCGGCTATCTATCGAAAGCCAAAGCCGGGGCACGATGCATACAGCGAAACAGCGCACGCTCGCGGGCGGTCCCGGTCATAGGATGAAGGATTCCATACGCAACGTAACGCTCGGGTGAACTTTTTTCGCTTTTCAAAACCAGTATAGTAGGTCACCGGGCATCCCACCACAAATTCCTAAAGTTTAAAAGTTTCGAGACACCAGCTTGTTGGGACGCGCAAAGGTTGTACGGAAAAATCGAGGGCGCGGTGCGCCTACGCCAGTCCCCAGAGCGGCAGAGTCAAAACAAACAGGGCAGACGTCCACACAAGAGGGGTAGCGCTTTACGCATCAAATGTCTCACTCACCGCATGAAATGACCGTTGAGAGCTCCTCTCACTTTCACATTTCGAAGGGCTCAACACACTGGTTGGTGGTGGAGATCCTGAACCTCTTCCCTCTGAGCAGCCAAGGGTTCGAGGCATTTTGCGTACATACGTCAGTACCACGAGGTCGTGGTACGAAGGACGGCGGGAATTAGGAAATAGACTAGTTGTTGTGCGTCTTGCCCAAGATGGCCATGCGAATGAGGCTGTCGATTGCATTTGATCCGATCGTACAGCAGCAGCAGTCGCGATACTAGACACCACCCGATTGGCTGGCGACAGGTGCATGGCAATGGCATCAGACATCTTGATCGCAGCAATGTTCTCTTCTTGAGCAACTTTGGAAACGCAGAAGCTGAGCCAGCCTACCTGCCGTTGTCGCAGACCTTGTCCCTGAACACCCTCCACTCCTTCTGCCTCTCGAACCAGGCGTAGGCGTAGACCCGCAGCTGCCGGGAGCCCTTAGGGAACCGCAGCTTCTTGGCGGTTGCGGCGTCCGGTCTGAAATCTCGTCGTATAAAGTACTGGTGGTGCAACCCCGGGGCAACGTGCAAGTAGGGAAGAGACGGAGAACATGAACGAAAAAAGACCAAGAAACAAATCAGAACTCAAACCACAGGCCGACTGATGGATGATGATTGATGCACACAAGCTTGTTTGTTTGCATGGATGACACGACAGACGCTTGCAGTAGTACCTCATCATCCAGCGCGTGCTCGGCGTTGATGACGTCCCAGCCGTGCTTAGCGTTGTGATGCTTGGCGTTGGTCCTGTCCGAGCCGCCGTCGTTCAGCTGATCCTCGATGTTTCGAAACACGCGCCGCTTCACGGCGGCGGTGGTAAGCTTGTCCTCGTTCACCACCCAGTAGGACACCCGGTAGTCGCTCTCGTTCCCGAGCTCGAGCTTGGCTCTCGCCCACGCCCGCAGCGGGTTGGGGATGCGGGTGAGCGTGTACGCCTGGGATGATCCGCAGCGCGAAGTCCGAGATGATCCGCCCGACATGGTCAAATCGGGTTGCTTCTGTGTGTGTTGCGCCACAAAGCAAAGGACAAAAGATTGCTCTGTGCACCGCGCCGAGGAGGAAAGATCTGAGCCCCGCTTTCGTTTCCGCGCAGGTCAGATCGGAAACCCGATCGCGATCTCCAGCTCCTATGATGTTCGCACAACCCTCCACAGAGATGAGTGATGTATTCATACTGCTGCACCAAGGTGAAGCGCAGAGGAGAGCAGAGTCAGACACGCAACGAACGTGCTCCCGCACGATCTGAAGATCCGTTTCTTTCTGAACTGGTAAGATCCGCATGGGTGCACGTCATCATGATACGCCTTCGTTACGTGTTCATCATGTGGAACAGCACTCCCTCTTCGACCCTTCGACCTTTGTCTGTCATCTCTCCCTGCTGCCGTCGCGAAATGTGCGCCTGAGCGCCGGCGGGATACTGACGTAGTGGAAGGGCCCGAGACAATCCGTCTCTGGAGATTCCCAAGATACACATACATGTACATCGACTTCGTGAACACAGAGGGGAGAAGATTAGACTGTAGACTAGTTATTTTATGATGCCTCGAGCACTACTACTGCGTTGATCACAGATGGCCAGTGGGCACAGTTGTACGGGGGCGTTGTGTAACCTCCGGCCAACGAGGGCTTATTACATGGGATATCGTGGGGGGGTAACAGGCCGAGCGGGCATAACGTACCGGGTTATGAAAGCGGTCATGCGCGGATTGGTGTAGAAGAGGCAAAAAAGAAAAATATACTGGAGTATGTGTGAGCCTTCTCACTTCCATTGTATTCCGCTCCACTCTGTGATGGGTGTGTTACGCGATACACCAGTGGCAACATTATTCTCTTTCGGGATAATCGGTGGAGAAAACATGACGCAGGGTGTACCGAACCAGCCACCTACACCTACCGAGTCGGGCGGCTGACCGATACGCGATATGTTGACACATATCTATACTCTTGTTGCCAAATTCCATGAATCTATCTAGTGATGGGGGCAGGAACAATTAGTGGCAACACCACCCACGTGGCCGATAAGAGCACATTTACGCCGTCCCCCCCACACAAAAAAAAAGCAGAAACTCCGGGTAATGATAACAATGTCTTCCATTACCAATCGTTCAATGTCAAGTTCTTCGTCAGCTAAGTTTATATGTTCCACAGCAGCAACAACATATATATATATACACGAAGCACAAAATTATGTAATGCTGAGCGCGCAGTTCTTTTCAGCAGACATTATTATAATATTTGTATGTAACAGTACTATATTCGACCACTATCTATCGTTGTATATTTTTAACGAGACAGACGTACGCACGTACGTACGTACGTACGTGTTATCGCATTGACTTTTACAGAGAGAGGCAGCGTATGTATATTATGTAGTATATATATCATCGCCTACTACTACTCTCGCGAAGGTGTACCGATTCAGGTAAAAAAAAAGTCAATCGACGGATACCGTGCGAATCGGGTCCTCCTAAACACTCTCCACCCGCAGAATTTACCATCAACTGGGAACCTCTTGTGGCCAAGATGGGTAATTCGATGGAAGTGTCACAAGGTTCTTTGTAGGATCGACTCCGAGAGATGTTCTCAGGACTGACACACATTGTGTCCTTAGGAAAGTATCCAAGTCAGGAGAAAAAGTGTGCGCCCAAGGAGATTCGAACCAGTATCCCGCTGACGCCATGCGCGAAGGCGTACCGATTCAGGTAAAAGTCAATGGACGGACACCCTGCGAATCGGGTCCTCCTTAACATCTCTCGCTTCTTCTTCTCAGTCTTTGTTTTGCCCCCCGATCGTTGCCGTGCGTGTTCTTACGCAACAAAATATATATCAAATAGAGTGGGTGTTTGCGGCCTACGCCACTTATTTATCGGGTGAGACTGTTTTGGTGATGTA